CTTGTGAGCCCAGTGCACCCATATCAAATACTTGTGTACATTTAGAGGATGTTTTTGAAGCAGGGAAGAGGAAAATGGGAGTAAGAAGATCAGATAAGGGACTTCTGTAGTGGTTCCAGTGAGAGACATTGGGAGAGGAACACAGGAGTGGATCCGACATATGTTAAGGAGTTAAGTAAGATCAGTGGGAACAAGTGAATGAGAGTGTAGAAGAAGGAGTTAATAGTGTCTAGCTCAGGTGAGTGTCTGGATAGTCCTGTGACAAGTAGAGACACAGGCTTGAAGGAAATAAGATGATTTCATTTTGGACTTGATGAGTTGGAAGTACCTTTTATGAATTCCAGGTGAAGATGTCCAGTAACAATTGGAGCCATGAGTATGAAGCTCTAGGTTTGGTGATCTAAGCTGGAGATGTATTTTGGGGAATCAGCAGCAAGAGATGGATGTCACTGAAAACTGAATGTGGATGAGATCACCCAAAGAGAATCTGGAGAGAGAAAAGAACAGAGAATCTCTGGAAGGAAGGGCATAGGAGGAGGGAGCGCCCTTTAAAGGGAGACTGGAAGGAGGAATCAGAGAAATAGATAAGAAAGTATGTAAGAAATAAGAGTATGCAATGTCATTGACACTGAATAAAATAATAGGGGAAGAAGGCACATGAGATGTTTGAGGTATAAAGTCAGAGGGGAAGAAGGGGAGGCAACTAGAATCAACTACTCTTTAGAAAAGTTGTAATGCCATGGGGAAGAGAGAGGGTAGATAGCTGCTGGAGGGATACATGCCATAAAGAGAGGTCTGGAGTTTTGTTCTTTTTGTGTTTTGCGGTTTGGAGAAGCTTAATCACTTTTATAGGCTGAGAGAAGGATCCAGGAAAAGAATTTGAATATGCAGGAGAGAGAGACAGAAAGACAGACAAAAGGCAGATACATCGGGTTCCCAGAGGTGAGGGAAGAGAATGGGGTTGGTACCCAGATGAAGTAGTTATGGACAGAAGGATGGTAACTTATTTTTATTGTTGAATCATGAGAATGCCTCTTTTTCTTTAGTCTCAGAGGTACTGATGAGAGTCCCAAGGGGTCTTCTTTAGGAAAAATCATTTTGCCAGCAGGTTGAATTTTCAAAAGGGACCAGAAAGTGAGAAATGTTAAATATAAAGGTGTTTGGGGGATTAAAAAAATCTTTATACTTGCTTGAGACCTTGCTGAGAACCAGGGTGAGGTCAAGAAATACCTTTACTTGGGGTGCCTGGGTGGCTCAGTCTGTTAAGTGTCTGCCTTTGGCTCAGGTCATGATCCCCGAGGTCCTGGGTTCAAGCCCCACATCGGGCTCCCTGCTCAGCGGGGAGCCTGCTTCTCCCTCTCCCTCCTCCTGCTGCTCCCCCTGCTTGTGCACGCTCTCTCTCTCTCTGTCAGATAAATGAATAAAATCTTAAAAAAAAAAAATACCCTTATTTGATGGATGTGTTAACTAAGTAACCTTATTGTGGTAATCATTTCCCAATATATGCATGTATCAAATAATCACACTGTACACAATGTTCTATGTCATTCTCAACCCAACAAAGCTGTAGAGGGAGGAAAGAAACTAGATTAGTGATTGCCTAGGGCTGGAGTTGGGGAGGGGATGGGCAGATTAGAGAGTGATAACTAGAGGATATGGGGTTTCTTTTTGGAATGATGAAAATATTCTAAAATGGATCAGGAGGATGGTTGCAGACTCTGAATATACTAAAAGACCATTGAATTGTACTCTTTAAATGAGTGAATTGTATGGTATGTAAATTACATGTTACGTGATTATATCTCAAAAGCAGTTTCTTTCCCCTTTCCCCAAAAGAGATACCCTTACTCAGTCAGAAGATGCACTCATTTACCTTTTATTTCTTGGAATTTTTTGACTCCAAAGCCCTAGCACATTTGACCTGAAGTGCAAAGTTCAGTTTTCATAAAAATCTTAGGGGTTTCATAGACTTATGCATCTGGGGCAGAAAGCAGGAATCTGCTCAAAAAAAAAAAAAAAAGGTTCAGAGAGATCATATTGTTTGTTTAGATGAGATTTAGGGTAGAAAACAATGCTCAGATGTCTAAGTGGTTGGAGGGAAATTACTCAAGGCAAAAGTAATTATCTTTATTCTCAATAATCACAACATTTATTTAAAAAGTCATAAAAATCCCTCACTTTTTATTTTTTTAATCTTCATAAAAATCCTTTAATAGTGGGGGATCCGATTTTTGTCTTTAAAGATAATGCCACTAAAATATTGGGGACCATTTGGAATTACAACAAACAAAATAATAAAAAGCATTAGTCTCTTTTCAAGATGAGAAGTATTTGTATTTGTACCTGGGAAACTCCTTATATTTCTAGTTACTATGTTGAAAGACCTAATATAATTAGAGAAAAAAATATGTAAGTTCAGTTCAACAAGTATTTTAGTGCCAAGTCTGTGCCATTCACTGTCTTAAGGGGTCTTGCAAAGAATACAACCCATTACTAGCCCCCAGGGAGCTCATAGTTTGGAAGGGGAGAAAAATGTGAAGTGGTTATAATACTGTGGGATAAAAGTAGCAGTGGAGGTTTGTAGTGTACAGAGGTTGCGGAGAAAAAGATCAGGAACAACTTCCCAAAGGAAGGGATAAGCAGAGTAGGTGCTAAACAATGACAGGATTTCACCAGATGGACAGAGGGACCTAGGGTATTTGAGAGAGAAGGATATGCTCATATAATGCTTAGGGGTACGAAATATCATGGTATATTCAGAGAATTGTAAGTAGTTCAGTGCTCATGGAACATAACTATAAGTGATTGAGACAAGAGAGTTTTGCAGGGACTAATTAATTCATCAGCCACACAATCAAATTTATATTTTTTGACTAACTTTCTGGAGTAACTTTGCTGGTAGGAGAGATATCACCTAATAGGTGCCTACAAGACTTCAGGCAGGAGATGATAGGGGCCTGGATTGAAGAGAGGACTATTAGGGATGGAGAGAAGTCAGATATGGGAGAGAGATAGGAGATAAAGCATACTGAATCAGGTGCTTGATATGTTTTGGGGTAAAGAAGTCAGATAGGGCTGAAGGAACAACTGTTTTATGAAGAAAAATTTAACTATATTACATATTTTGGTCTAGAGTGGTAAAGACTGGAGAATAAGATAAATTTCCCCCTTTGAAGTCTGTAAATTGAATATAGTCTGGATTATGAATGACAACCAGAACTAAAACTCACCCCCTCATACATGAACAAGGTAAATATGGGATCAATAAGAGAAATTAATGCTTCATAAACCAGGCATATCTCCTTCTGCATTAAGTCTGTTGCAATATCATCCATCCCACTGTACACTCGAGAAATAAGAGTGAAAAAGGCAGATGATGGTGATCATGAAAATGGTTTGGTTTTGTTATCCACTGACAACAGCGGTTTGAGAACCACTGTTCTTGAGGAAGCAGAATTTTTTTGTTACATACACACATAAGGTATTACACTACCCCCATCTGCTTTTTGGAAGTGGATACTCCTGAGTATTTTCACCATTATTCCCTGGCTTTGTCCTGTACCTCTAAAGTCTTGTGATCCATTTACAGATTGATGATGCTAATTCTAAGGCAGAATTTATAGTCTTCTCTCACCTTTTACCCTTCCTACTCTAATGAAGTGTAAGTCATGTAGACCTTATTCCCTCTGCTTTTCTTCATGACTTCTTACTTTGTTGATAAACTGTAAAGGCATATATATATATGTATATGTATATTAAACTGGAGTCTGCAGAGGGGGAGTAAGACCATCATTGGGGCCATTTCTTTATATCCTGAAAAACAGTAGAGGGAAGGAAAACCACAGTGTTACCTGGAGTCTGGACTCTTATCAAAATGTAAAAGCATGGACACCGATGACTAGCTCCTGGAGGCCTGCCTAGAATGAGAAAGAAGAATTATCTCTAGAAATATCAACACTTCGAGATGTATCTCCACTTTGGAAATACATGAGACTAAAAATAGTCTCTTGAGTCTTTCTACCTTTAATTCATCAGGGACACACACACCATTTGTCTTCTTTCTCTCCTTTCTCATTCAGCTCCATCAACACCAACCTCATTTGATTCCGAACCGAGTGACATGTTTGTGTCCAGTGAGAACCAAGTCTTTGTTTCCATTGAGCTCTCTGTAGAATCTTACCATTCTTACTGCCACCACCCAGTTCTGTCATTCCTACTTAAACAGCCTATTGGTCTTTTGACTTGAGGCTCTCCTTTTCTCACTCTATCCTGTGTATCCGTGCCTGATTGATTTCTCCCAAACACGGCTATTATCCAGGACTACTATTGTCCTTTGCTCAAAAATTTTCAATGATGTCTTCATTTGTGCCATGGTACAAATCTGCTTTATCTCTACTCTCCTTCCACTTTTCCATGATCCCTTCATCTGAAATATTCTACAATAGTCTTGGCTGTTTCCTTAAAATTCTGTGAACAGAGGCTACACCTTTCTTCTGTGCTTGCTTCCTTTCGCCTGGAATGTCTTCTTTTCCCCCTTCCATCTAAACCCAACCAAGTCTTCAAAACTTAATTCAAAACCAGTCCCTGTAAATGGTTTTTACTTGTCTAATCTGTCTTTCTTGATTTCCCTCTTCTCTGAAATGTAGTAGTATTTGAAGTTTGTACCACACAAAAATGGTATGTGATTACATATCATTATTAATTGTTTATTTTTGTTTCAGTTGTGTTAATTTTTTTTCTCCAAATAAGTTGTAAGTTTCTTGAGAACTTATTTAGAATTTCATCCTGGGGGAGACCAGATTCCCTGAGCTAGGCAATTGTCAGTGGTTTTTCCAAAACTACTGCTGAAATTATCTTTGTGCTAGTTAAGTTGGGTTGCTCTTATGTCTGGGCCGGAGTTCAAGTCTTATAAATAATATCTTGCATAATGTTATTTCCAAGTACAGTACAGTATAATAGTATCTGTACTTATCCTAAATTTGTCAAACTTTATCTTACAGCTATTTCTGCATTTGAAGTTCAGCCAATTTCTACTGAGGTCCAAGAAGGTGGAGTTGCTAGATTTGCATGCAAGATTTCCTCAAACCCTCCTGCAGTCATAACATGGGAATTAAATCGGACAACTCTACCTGTAACTATGGACAGGTAAATGCAGCTTTTGTCTTTGGAGACGATGCAGGAGTAACAAAGGTGTCATGGGACTTATGGGGGAAAGACCGTGATGGAGCTTATTTTCATTTACAGTAGCAATTACCAACCTCTTAAAGACATTTCAAACTTAGGCAAAGAATTAGATCATCAGTCTCTGGCACATGTGGAATAATTTCTGATTTTTGGTTTAGATCATAATTCAAATAACCTTTCTTACTGCTTTGTTGCTTTCCTTAAACATCTTTTCCAACCATAGGACCACCTGAGCACCTGCTTTGTAGCCCAAGGATTTAGGAAACCAAATGAGACCTTCAGTGCTGGCAATAGCAATACTACTATAGGGGTCTCCTATATGCCCTGGTACCTGCCCATTTTGTCTCCACCTCCCACTTCCAGTCTCCTCTCGGCTACACACACACACACACACACACACACACACACACACTCACCCGCTCACCCGCTCACCCCCACCCCACCCCCAGTGCTCTGCAGGTGGTTGAGGTTTAAGGATCAAGAACTTAGTAGCGCCTTCATAAAGTTTAATTCCTGTCCTCATGAGTAGCAGTATTCCAAAGTAGGTAAAATCTCAGGATACTATGATGGAAGAAGTTATTCAAGAAAGTGTTAAAAAAAAACCCAAAAACTTAGATTCAGGTGTATCTTGGAGAATATGTCTGTATTAATAGGCAAGAAATCAGGATTTGAAAAAAATCATACTAAGCCCTACATCACCAGTTATGTAAGCTATAATGTCAAATGTAACTCTGTATAAAATTAGGCTGGTAGATTTCACAAACCACATACTGCATAGTTATGTATGTTTTAGAGACCTGTAGTGACCCAAATAAAAACAATTGAATCAAGCTAATTGTTTTAAATGGTCTTTAAAGTATTGCATCTGGCACTTTGAAAAGGTTGAATATATTAATCATAGAATACATGTTAAAATAAAATATAAAATCTACTACAAAGAATTGACTCATCTTTCTCCCTGTAACAGGATAACTGCCCTTCCGACAGGAGTATTGCAGATCTATGATGTTGGCCACAGGGATGCTGGGAATTATCGTTGTGTTGCTGCTACTGTAGCCCACAGACGTAAAAGTATGGAAGCCTCTCTAACGGTGATTCCAGGTACTGTCCCAGCTGTTAGTTTTTCCTCTGTGGCTATAATAGTATGGTATAACGCTGTGAATTGTGCAAGATTGCTGAATCTCAGATCTGTACCTCTGAAACAAATAACGCAATATATGTTAAGAAAAAAAAAGAAGAAGAAGGTAGCGGGAGGGGAAGAATGAAGCGGGGGAAATCGGAGGGGTAGACGAACCATGAGAGATGATGGACTCTGAAAAACAAACAGGGTTTTGGGGGGGGGTGGGAGGATGGGTTAGCCTGGTGGTGGGTATTAAAGAGGGCACGTTCTGCATGGAGCACTGGGTGTTGTGCACAAACAATGAATCATGGAACACTACATCTAAAACTAATGATGTAATGTATGGGGATTAACATAAGAATAAAAAAAAAGGAAAAAAAAAAAAGAAGAAGAAGAAGGTAGTGGGAGGGGAAGAATGAAGGGGGGGAAATCGGAGGGGTAGACGAACCATGAGAGACGATGGACTCTGAAAAACAAACTGAGGGTTCTAGAGGGGAGGGGGTTGGGAGGATGGGTTAGCCTGGTGGTGGGTATTGAGGAGGGCACATTCTGCATGGAGCACTGGGTGTTATGCACAAACAATGAATCATGGAACACTTCATCTAAAACTAATGATGTAATGTATGGGGATTAACATAAGAATAAAAAAAAAGAAAAAAAAAAAGAAGAAGAAGGTAGCAGGAGGGGAAGAATGAAGGGGGGAAATCGGAGGGGTAGACGAACCATGAGGGACGATGGGCTCTGAAAAACAAACAGGGTTCTAGAGGGGAGGGGGGTGGGAGGATGGGTTAGCCTGATGGTGGGTATTGAGGAGGGCACGTTCTGCATGGAGCACTGGGTGTTATACGCAAACAATGAATCATGGAACACTACATCTAAAACTAATGATGTAACGTATGGGGATTAACATAAGAATAAAAAAAAAAATCCCCCCCCCAAAAAATAGTATGCTATAAAATAGCACTTTAATTTCATGTAAGTTATTGTAATCTAGTTGGAAATGGTCATTTTTATCCCTGTTAGGTTCCTCTTCTTTCACAGGCCAGCTTATTTTATGTTAACATCTTTAAGAACAACATCTTTAAGAAAGAATGAATATTTGTTTTGTAAATATTTCACTTTTGTTTTTAAAATATAAAATGCGAAATGAGAAAAACGATTACCCATTTCCACCAAAATTGTCCATTGTCAATAAAGATATATTTGTTTCCAGTTTGTATTTTTTTGTTTGTTGTTTTAAGAAAAATTATAATTTGCATTTGTAAAAATGATACATGCTTATCATAAAGAGTGATGTCTATAAAAGTATAAAAATAAAAATTTTTACATTAAACAGTGTAAAAAAGTATAGATAGAAGTTTAAAAATATCCCCAATTCCAATATCCAGAAATTATCATTGTTAACATTAAGCGAACATAATTTTCTATATTTTGCCACACATAAATATACTTAGAAGGGAAACTAGCTAAAGAGATGAATATGAAGAAAGAAATATGTATCTTACTAAAATGGAATTACACATAGATACTAGTTTTTATTTTTAAATAATTTAAATTTACTTGAATATAGTGGAAAAAAGTCTGGACTAAAGACATTGGTGAACTTCATCTGAATGTTTATTTTTCACAAGATTCCTAAAATATCCTTGAAGGTTAAAAAATCTCTTTGAGAAACTGAAATTACATTTTTAACACTATGGTTCAATATCAGGTAGTATCTTTTAGCTTCCTGATATGAAAGATTAAAGACAAAATCACTCCCACACTTCTCTCTTCTTCCCACTGTCACATAAATTCTTAACAAGGTTGGCGAAAGGATTAAATGAATGTTTGAGCCTCAATTAAAAGGGAATGATACGGAAACAACCTAAATGTCCATCAACTGAAGAATGGATAAATAAAATGTGTTCTATTGATACAATTAAATTCTATTATGTTATTACTCAATAAAAAGAAATGAAATACCGGTACACATTGCAACACAGATGAATCTTGAAAACATTATGCTAAGTGAAAAGAAGCCAGTTCCCAAAAGACCATATAATACATGGTTCCTTTGTTAAGGAATGTCTAGAAAAGGCAAATCCAGAGAGACAGAAAGATTAGTGGTTGCCGGGCTGTGGAGACAGGAGATTGCTCATGGGTGTGGTGTTTCTTTTTGGGGTTCTAAAGTTGATTGTGGTAATAGTTGCACAACTCTGAAAATACTAAAAATCACTGAAGTACTTAAAATTGTGAATCGTGTATGATGTGAGTTATATCTCAATGAAGTTATTTTTTTTTTTAAGATTTTATTTATTTATTTGAGAGAGAGAATGAGATAGAGCATGAGAGGGAGGAGGGTCAGAGGGAGAAGCAGACTCCCCACCGAGCAGGGAGCCCAATGCGGGACTCGATCCCGCGACTCCAGGATCATGACCTGAGCCGAAGGCAGTCACTTAACCGACTGAGCCACTCAGGCGCCCACCTACATGTTTGCATATTAATAGTAGTACATTCTCTCACCAAACTCAGCTCAGACCCCGCCCTGCTCCTTATCAAACTGGAGCTTCTGAAGCTCAGCAAAAACTCACATTTATTGTTTCTTTTTTTTTTTTTTAAAGATTTTATTTATTTATTTGAGAGAGAATGAGAGACAGAGAGCATGAGAGGGAGGAGGGTCAGAGGGAGAAGCAGACTCCCTGCCGAGCAGGGAGCCTGATGCGGGACTCGATCCTGGGACTCCAGGATCATGACCTGAGCCGAAGGCAGTCGCCCAACCAACTGAGCCACCCAGGCGCCCTCAATGAAGTTATTTTTTAAGGGAATAACAAGGATGTTTTAACTTGTCTCACTTATTATATCTTGCTTGTAATTTCTTCTCATCTTGTGCCTCCTCCTCCTCAAAGCTGAAGAGTCTAATTCCTTCCACACACCAGCCATCATCGCAGGCCCACAGAACATAACAGCGTCTCTTCATCAGACAGCGGTTTTCGAATGCGTGGCCACGGGAAATCCCAAACCACTCGTGTCTTGGAGCCGCCTGGGTAAGTTTTCTCGGGGAAAAGAGTCTTTAAACTCTGTTGATTTTAATGAAGCTGACAGAATGTTTATTTTATAGGCAAAACACATGTTTGTCATTGAAGTGGCTTCTAACTTTTCGGCATTTCAGTGTGTGGAGAAAAGGTTTTTGTATAGCGGATTTTATGCTTTTTATGATATGATTCAATGGTGATCTTTTGACATAATTTTAGATCTTATGTTACATTTTTTTTTTTTTTTAAGATTTTATTTATTTATTTGACAGAGAGAGAGACAGCGAGAGCAGGAACACAAGCAGGGGGAGTGGGAGAGGGAGAAGCAGGCTTCCTGCCGAGCAGGGAGCCCGATGCGGGGCTCGATCCCAGGACCCTGGAACCATGACCTGAGCCGAAGGCAGACACTTAATGACTGAGCCACCCAGGGCCCCCCCCCCCTTTTTTTAAAGATTTTATTTATTTGACAGAGACACAGCAAGAGAAGGAATACAAGCAGGGGGAGTGGGAGAGGGAGAAGCAGGCTTCCTGCCAAGCGGGGAGCCCGATGCGGGACTCGATCCCGGGACCCTGGGATCATGACCTGAGCCGAAGGCAGACGCCCAATGACTGAGCCACCCAGGCGCCCTTATGTTACATTATTTTAACCGAAGTCTTCTCTTGGAAATAGATCACAAGTCCATTGATGTCTTTAACACTCGGGTACTGGGAAATGGTAATCTCATGATATCTGATGTCAAGCTGCAACACGCCGGAGTGTATGTTTGTCGGGCGACAACCCCGGGCACGCGCAACTTTACAGTTGCCATGGCAACCTTAACTGTCTTAGGTATGTTTTATTTCATCCTGCATTCAGGAGAATCTCGTATTTTAACATTTATTGTATTATCTCATTCATCGCTTACTTCCTCCTTTCTTGAACTTTGTAGCATTGATACGAAGGTTGATATGAAATCCTGTGATCCAACAATGAATTTTAGAAGCAAGTTAAAGCTCTGGGTTAAAATGTAACTAACTATAATGCTTAAGTCACCCTCCTGTTTGCCTGCATACCATTATGTTCCTTCTTATTTAAGCATCTCTTTTATGTCTTTGTTACCTACCCACAAATCCACATATCCATTTACCAATCTAAAACTTTAATCTGTTGATTGTATGCGTTCACAAGTGGCTATATATTATTGGGCTTAGTTAAGTAGGATTATAGTGTACCTATTTCTAGTGTGTTGACACAGAGGGTCTCAATAGGGAAAACCTCGAGGGAATGGACATCTAAATGAACAATGCTGAGAAAAGGCATCTGGACAGTTATATGTAGAGTGTAGATAAGAGGCTCAGAATGTTAAATATTTTCAAGGATGGGACTTGAGTCATTTGCCGAACTCTTCCTTGACTCTTTGTATCATTCCTGTTGGAGACATGGACATTTTTCTCTGTTCTTTTTTCTTTAAAAATAGCTCCTCCTTCATTTGTTGAATGGCCAGAAAGTTTAACAAGGCCTCGAGCTGGTACTGCTCGATTTGTGTGTCAAGCAGAAGGAATCCCCTCACCCAAAATGTCATGGTTGAAAAATGGGAGGAAGATACATTCAAATGGGAGAATTAAAATGTACAACAGGTGGGTATGTCACTTTGCTACTATTTTAGAGAAGATATAGTGGCTTTAGTAATTGCTATGTGAACTGGTTGTAATATCAAATATCTAAATTATCTTGGTATTTTAAACTAAAATAAGAAATTTAGATTCTGAAGAGGGGGGAAATGAGAGGGGGAGACAAACCATGAGAGACTATGGACTCTGAGAAACAAACTGAAGGTTCTAGAGGGGAGGGGGGCGGGGGGATGGGTTAGCCTGGTGATGGGTAGTAAAGAGGGCACGTATTGAATGGAGCACTGGGTGTTATGCGCAAACAGTGAATCATGGAACACTACATCAAAAACTAATGATGTAATGTATGGTGATTAACATAATAAAATAAAATATGAAAAGAAAAATTAAGATTCTAACATCAGCACGCCATAGATCCTTTTGTATTTTATATGTGGATCATGGAATTGGTAGATTATAATGAAATAAATGTTGGACAGTCCCCTAGACCTGGGTTCTAGTCCTGATGAGCCAATAGCTAAGTTATTAGCAAGCATATTAACCCTTTGGGGTCTCAGTTCCTTCTTCCATTAAAAAGAGAAAATTAGAAGGAAATATTCAAATCTCAAGGAATTTTTCAAACTTAATGATTTTTAGAACTCATTTTTATTAGTATAAATATGAGTCTTCTTATAACATTGCCATATGTTTAATAAAACTTTAAAATTTTTTGTTGATCTGAATTTATGTAACATTGCAGTATTATATAAGTTAGATGCTATTACAGAATAATATACTTTTTTATAAAAGCCAAATTTTTTTTTAAGGTTTTATTTATTTGACAGAGAGAGACACAGCGAGAGAGGGAACACAAGCAGGGGGAGTGGGAGAGGGAGAAGCAGGCTTCTGGTGGAGCAGGGAGCCCAATGCGGGGCTTGATCCCAGGACCCTGGGATCATGACCTGAGCCGAAGGCAGACGCTTAACGACTGAGCCACCCAGGCACCCCTAAAAGCCAAATTTTAAAAAAGAGATTAGTCTTTCACCTAAAGCAAACAGGGTTTGGATATCACTATTACTTAAACTCAGAAAATAAGAGTAATTTTAAGCAACTCAGATTTTTCAGTGGGGTTGATTACACAGTTTTTTGTTCTTTGTAACTTTTGTCACTTAAAATGAGAGTGAACTTAGCAATAGTTTAACTTTATTTTTACATCATTCTTAGAAATTTTCATAAAAATATTTTTTTCTTTCCTCAGTAAATTGGTAATTAACCAGATTATTCCTGAAGATGATGGTATTTATCAGTGCATGGCTGAGAACAGCCAAGGATCTATTTTATCTAGAGCCAGACTGACCGTAGTAATGTCAGAAGACAGACCCAGTGCTCCCTACAACGTGCATGCTGAAACCATGTCAAGTTCAGCAATCCTTTTAGCTTGGGAGAGGCCACTTTATAATTCAGACAAAGTCATTGCTTATTCTGTGCACTATATGAAAGCAGAAGGTAAGCAATTTGAGGAGTATTTATTTTCAACTGCTACTTGCTGTCAATAATTTCAGTATGAATGATGTCTTACCAGAAAATATTTTTGAAGTTCTATGGCATTTATCTCTTTTAATAAAATAATCTATCACCTGCATATCAGTTTTTGCTAAATGTTTTTATTATTGTATACTTTGTATATATAAGTATAGTTTAAGATTTTGTTTAGAAATAAGTACCATCTCTGCCTGCTAAAAATTACAAAGTGGTGGAGTAATGAATTTCATTCCAGCCAAGATATAAATTCTTTAGCTAAGACTTGATGTTCCAATTTAAGTATACAGTTACATAGGAACAATGTTGTAATTGGTTCATAAAATAATATGGTGAATTATGGTCACTATAGCATGTTATTTTTAAGGGGGGGGGTAAACATTATCAGATCCCCATAAGTTGATTTTATATGTTTTGAATGTTTCCTGAAAACATTTAAAACTCTGAATATTGAACAGGACTCTCTTTGTTGATACGTCATTTCTTATATAAAAGTAGAAATCAAATCTGTCTTAAAATTTTTATTCAGAACTATTAATTCCATTGTTTTTGCAATCTTTTTTGCCCTAGTATTTTCTTTTGGCAAAAAAATTCGAGGGAAAGGAAAAGCTACTTAGAAATCCTAGAGATTTCTCTACTGATCTCTCATAGAAACCACAGAAGTTTACAAATTTTAGTTGTGCACAGTCTAGATTTTATGCAATAGACATTAAAACAAATCCTAGCACCCAAAAATGATGATATGATAAAATTGTCCATATAAACAGGTGGTTTGTTGTTGTTTGTTTTTTATACTTTGAAGTAGTATTTTGAAAAGGAATATTTTGAATTTAAATCAGGGGTTTTAGCAAGAAGAATGAAAAGTCTAACTGAGCATGTTGGAGTATGTTAATTCCCTTCTTAGTGATTTAGGAAGGTAAAAGGAATGCTGGTTTTGGTGGAGACCACTCTTGTTCGCTATTATGGTCATTTCATTAGAGCCTCCACATGCGGCTCAGTGGTCTATTCAAGGACAGAACAAGGCTTTTTAATTCGAACTCAAGGACCTTGTTTGGTAGGTCAGAAATCGTACTATGCAGTTCCTAATTAACAAGCCATTAGCCAGTCTGTTGTGAAATGGCTGTAATCTTGTCTAATTAAAATGCTATCAAGTTAATTCAGAAATGTGGGAAAACTTAATGGTGGAATTTGCCTTCTGTTTTGTTTATAAATCCAGTGAGGGGGAGAAGGGCCTTGGTCCTTAGAGCGTTTTGATGAAGTTGACGTGCATTTACCGTGAATTGTTCGCAAAGCCCAGGAGCTGCCAGTGTGCTTATTCCCCTGTACAGATCCGCGCCGTAGGAATTAAATCACACAAAGGCAAATTCTGTTCTATACCTTGCCATGCATATTTTATTAAGAATTGCTGAGAAATTTTTTTTTTCCTCTTTGGGGCGGGGGGAAGTTCGTTGTGGAACAAAGTGTTTTGAAGTACATTCTGTGCCTCCCAGTTCTTTTGCTTCCTACTAGAATAAATAAAAAGAACAACTTGTGTCAGTCAAATTTAATAGAATCTCTAGGGCCAAAATGAGATCTTTTGCAGGACGACTTTTGGTTTGGTTTGTTTTTATAAAGCCTGGAGACTTTACATTCCCATAAAGCCTAGAGCCTTTACGTTCCCTACTGTCTCTCCATTTACTTTTAAAAGGAAAAAGAAGCCATGCGTTTAAGCAAGTAAAACTTACACTGTTTCAAACTACGGTGTTCTATAACATTACGCTCTGTTGTGTTACTGCTCTGCATTGTCTCTGCTATGGGTTTTGACTGGATATTAAAACAAATTTAGAAGAGGTTAATTATTTTCAGTTTGATTTACTAGGGAAGAATTCAAACTACTAATTTGTAGCAAGATGTAGTTACTTTTAGAAGTCACATTTCTTTTTTTTTAAAGGGTCACAAAAGATAACAAAGATTAGGCAGGAGGATCAGTGTGTCACGGTAAGGGAAATTGGTCCTGTTCATTTTGAATACTCCTGATTTTTAAACGCCGATTCTTTAATCTAGGTTTAAATAATGAAGAGTATCAAGTTGTCATCGGAAATGACACAACTCATTATATTATTGATGACTTAGAACCTGCTAGCAATTATACTTTCTACATTGTGGCATATATGCCAATGGGAGCCAGCCAGATGTCTGACCATGTGACACAGAATACTTTAGAGGATGGTAAGAAAACACAGTCTATGTCATTTAAGTATGAACATTAATATGTTTAATCCATTTCAATGAATAAATGTGTTTTAAATTAGAGAAAATATCCTCTTTTTGGTTAAAAAAATAATCAAAACAGGTATGGTAACTGGCAGGCTAGTTTGCCATTTCAAATTTGACCCTCACTTTTTGACAATAAGATGATAAGTGTAGAGTTTTTATAACTTATAATGTGTAACATAAATTTTAATAATAAAAATCTTATATTATTGTATTTCTTCAAGTTTCCTAGTGTAAATTGTAAATACATTGACGTTTTAAAAAAATTTTTTTTTGACATTGCAGGGTTTTTTTGAGTGGAACAAAATGTGGAATTTTCTAAGCATAAATAAATATAAATACAACAAGTAAATATATAATGAACAGAGGTCAGAGGTCTTGGACCTCTGAAACTGGGAGTTTTTGAAATTTAGTAAACTGTCAGTTAAAAAATATTCTTTAAAAATCAGCAGTTAGTCTGTTTTTAGGTATAATATGTTTATTCTGCTTAAGGAGGAAAGTAATAGTTGTTACAGACCCTGGGTTGGAAGTTGAGTTGTAGTCCTTTTGAGGGCAGGCCTCCATATATTCTTGTAATGATGGGAGATCCCATCCATTAGTAAAGTCCTGAGACTGATTCTCCTCCTCTGATTCGTCATCTCTCTCTCCAGGGGCTCTCTAGAAGGCCCTTTTTGTACCCGTCACTGGGAAAAGGGAATGATTTAACATATGCTTAATTATACTGTTCCTCCTTTACAGATGTTTTCTCATCCTCACAAAATGGCCCACCCTTAGTTTTCAAAACATTTTTTTGAAGCATTTTTTCATTTATTTGAGAGGGAGAGAGACAGAAACAGAGAGCATGAGCAGAGGGAGGGGTAAAGGGAGAGGGAGAAGCAGACTCCCTGCTAAACAGCGAGTCAGACAGGGGGCTCCATCCCAGGACCCTGGGATCATGACCTGAGCAGAAGGCAGATGCTTAACCACCTGGACCACACAGGTGTCCTTCAAAACTTTTTTTTTTTTAAGATTTTATTTATTTATTTGACAGAGAGAGAGACAGCAAGAGAGGGAACATAAGCAGGGCGAGTGGGAGAGGAAGAAGCAGGCTTCTCACTGATCAGGGAGCCCGATGCGGGGCTCGATCCCAGGACCCTGGGATCATGACCTGAGCCAAAGGCAGACGCTTAACGACTGAGCCACCCAGGCGCCCCAAAACATTTTTATGTAGATTATTTCCATATCATTTTCTTTGTTCATTTGGTCCCAGATCTCTTACTTACATCTCTATTATGCCACTTATTAGATGTTTATAAATTCAGAGTTTGACTAAATGAAAAAAATTACTGATTTGGATGCTCAATTCCAATTCAGTTTTCATTTAACAGTCTGTTCCATTTTAGGGGCGTCTGGGTGGCTCAGTGTCCTGCATGGGGCTCCCTGCTCAGTGGGAAGCCTGCTTCTCCCTCTCCCTCTCCCTCTGCCCCTCCCCCTGCTTATGTGCTCTCTCTCTCTCTCTCTCTCAAATAAATAAATAAAATCTTAAAAAAAAAAAGTCTGTTCCATTTTAGAGTGAATCACAGTATTTATGACCTCTCGAATTCTCATCACATTTAACCTCTGACATGTATATCTAAGGTGAAACACAGGCTGGGGGTGTGTGCTGTTTTGGGGCTTGTGGGGGTTTTTTGGTGTATTCCTCCCTATATCCTTAAAGGAAAGGAGTCTGACCATAGCAAGCTACTTTTTAAAACTTGCCAGTTCCAGTTAAGTTATGATCTCAAAGTTCTTTTTCCTTTAAACCTTTTCTTACTCTGTAACATTTTACTTAATGTAGTTTCATTTTGTTTTCTGAATAACACAGACTTCTGACCCTACTTTTCACGTTTCTACACCAGTTTCTCCACATTTCCTAAGCCCATACGTCTCAAACGGAGATGTGTGGGTGTCCTAGGGGCACGGCTGTGTGCAGCAGATACAACTAACACTTGTGGAGGGCTTGCCCCTGCCTGTTCTAAAAACCTTCTCTCCGTTATCTCATTTAATCCCTACATAACCCTGTGATAGAAGAACTGTTGTTATATAAGACACAGTCAAGTAGAGGGGATAAGAATGTGGGCTTTGTTCAGTCGGCCTACATCTGCTCCTTCACTAATGACCTGTGTGACCTTGGGCAAGCGGTTTAACCTCTTTGTACCTCAGTTTCCTCAGCTATAATGATCGTGGTGCTTCCTTTGGTTTTGGTGAGAATTCATGAGTTCATACATATCAAGGACTCAGAAATGCTTAAAAAATTGATTTTCTCTTTTCCAACTATTAGTTCATTCATGCAACAAATATTCATCGAGTACCTGCTGTGTGTTATTTGATAGTAGTGAACAAAAGAGACAAAAAATTGTCCCTGATTTCGTGGCGTTTACTTTCTAGTGGGAGAGGGGCAGAGGAACAATAGACAAGATAAACAGTCCATTATGTAATTATATGCTATATGGGATATTGGTAAGTATCTAGGAGAAGGGGAAAAAAGCAAGGAAAGGGAGTATGAAATGTTGGGAGGGTTTGAGACTTGAGACACAGTCACCCAAGAAAGGCTCACTGAGTAGGTGACATTTGAATGAAAACTTGAAGGAAGTGAAGGTGCGGGAGCTGGTGAAGCAGGTGACTGGGGGAGGTGCATGCTCGGCAGAGGAAATGGACATTGCTGAGGGCTGCAGTGGAGGGAACAGGTGGAAAGCAGTAGGAGATTGGGGCCCAGAATCCATGAGGAGCCGACCCTGTAAGTACATAGGGCTTTGTATGAAGTCACAGTGAGGACTTGGGCTTTTACTTTTACTGACACTTTGCTTTCTTTGGTTCTCTATGCTCGATCCTTCCTCATTATTTTTCCTTCTTTTTTTTTTTCTGGTTTGTGATCTACTTGCCTGAAAACCTCTGCTAGGGCTGAACGTATCCCTCCTTTATCACGTGTGTTGCTCTTAAGAGAATGCAGTAAATACTGCAGTGCTAATTGACAGTTTTGATTCTATTCATAAGCAACCTGTTTTCTTGTATGACTAGTTCCCTTGAGACCTCCTGAAATTAGTTTGACCAGTCGAAGTCCCACCGATATCCTCATCTCCTGGCTGCCGATCCCAGCCAAATACCGGCGGGGCCAGGTGGTCCTCTATCGCCTGTCCTTCCGCCTGAGTACTGAGACTTCCATCCAAGTTCTGGAGCTCCCGGGAACCACACACGAGTACCTTCTGGAGGGCCTGAAACCAGACAGTGTCTACCTGGTGCGGATTACTGCTGCCACCAGAGTGGGGCTAGGAGAGTCATCGGTGTGGACCTCACATAGGACACCCAAAGCTACAAGTGTGAAAGGTAAATTTCTAAACATGATTGAGGAAGAGTATTTTTACTTTTTTGAAACTTACTTTTATAAAATCTAAGTCATGTTTAAATGGTGTTTTATGAATGAAAATATTCCATAGATCATGGACTTCACTGAAAATAATTTTAAACTTTTTGTTGCATAGTCCCTTTTGACATAGAGCTCAATAGTGTGTAAAACTTTTGGTTACACTGTTAGTTTGCTTAGCAAATTCTTCATAAATGGGTGAATCCAAATCAAACTGAATTACCAAAAGTTATATACTAATAGAGACCTAATTGATATTATTGCCATATATATGTATGTGTGTGTGTGTGTGTGTGTATAGATAGATAGATAGATAGATAGATAGATAGATTTAGATTTTATTTATTTATTTGACAGAGAGAGACACAGAGAGGGAACACAAGCAGGGGGAGTGGGAGAGGGAGAAGCAGGCTTCCCACTGAGCAGGGAGCCCGATGCGGGGCTTGATCCCAGGACCCTGGGATCATGACCTGAGCCGAAGGCAGACGCTTAACGACTGAGCCACCTAGGCGCCCAATATTTTATATTTTTAATTCTGTCTCAAAGTTTAATGTCACTGTGGAATTTTGATAGTTAGGTTAAAATATAATTGCTTAGAATTGCACTTTTTTGCAGCTGTTGGTTTAAAATTGGGTGTATATTTATGAACTATGGATTTTTTTTTTATTCTTATGTTAATCCCCATACATTACATCATTGGTTTTAGATGAAGTGTTCCATGATTCATTGTTTGTGCATAACACCCAGTGCTCCATGCAGAATGTGCCCTCCTCAATACCCACCACCAGGCTAACCCATCCTCCCACCCCCCCCAGAACCCTGTTTGTTTTTCAGAGTCCATCGTCTCTCATGGTTCGTCTACCCCTCCGATTTCCCCCGCTTCATTCTTCCCCTCCTGCTACCTTCTTCTTCTTTTTTTTTTCTTAACATATATTGCATTATTTGTTTCAGAGGTACAGATCTGAGATTCAACAGTCTTGCACAATTCACAGCGCTTACCAGAGCACATACCCTCCCCAGTGTCTATCACCCAGTCACCCCATCCCTCCCACCCCATCCCCCACTCCAGCAACCCTCAGTTTGTTTCCTGAGATTAAGAATTCCTCATATCAGTGAGATCCATATGATACATGTCTTTCTCTGTTTGACTTATTTCACTCAACATAATACCCTCCAGTTCCATCCACGTCGTTGCAAATGGCAAGATCTCATTCCTTTTGATGGCTGCATAATATTCCATTGTGTATATATACCACATCTTCTTTATCCATTCATCTTTCGATGGACATCTTGGCTCTTTCCACAGTTTGGCTATTGTGGACATTGCTGCTATAAACATCGGGGTGCACGTAGCCCTTCGGATCCCTACTTTTGTATCTTTGGGGTAAATACCCAGTAGTGCAATTGCTGGATCATATGGTAGCTCTATTTTCAACTTTTTGAGGAACCTCCATACTGTTTTCCAGAGAAGAACTATGGATTTTTTTATGCATACATTTCTGTTGGCTTTTTCTAGCCCCTAAGTCTCCAGAGTTACATTTGGAGCCTCTGAACTGTACCACCATTTCTGTGAAGTGGCAGCAAGATGCTGAGGACACAGCAACCATTCAGGGCTACAAGCTGTACTACAAAGAAGAAGGGCAGCAGGAACATGGACCCATTTTCTTAGATACCGGTGACCTTCTCTACACTCTCAGTGGTTTAGGTGAGTGAGTCCGTACTGCACTTTCCTTTTGTCCTTCCTCTCTGACCAGTTGGGAAAAGAGTTTTTGGATATAGGGCAGAAGAACTGACTTACTAGTAGAAAGAGAATTGCCTTTATGACATCACTGTGTATATCCTCCTGCTTAACTCTGTGCTGGTCTTTGACTCACCATTGTGAGCGAACTGACAAGGTGTCAGATAACCTTGGTATCTTTCTATCTTTCCCCCACCTCTGGGCATCTGCTTTTCTTTCTACAGTTAACTTCTGGTAGAGTGAGATCTGATCAATTATTATGAATGTATGATGTACGTGAAATAGCAATATCACAAAATGAGCAGAAAATAGACAATGATTAATTTAGAAATTGCCGGAGAGTGCTTTGTAGGTGCATTATTTTCACATATAAAATATATTTAAATTACAAAATAATGCTCTTACATATGACCATGTCACTATACATATTTATTTTTGTAGCTGTAACACAGAAAAAGCACTCAGCCTTGTGTTTGGGTTTATCACAGTTCCGAAAGACACCGTTTTATTCTCTGTTCGTCTTATCTTTGCTGAGTGAAGAATTTCATAATGTGACCATGTTTAATGGAAAGTAAGGAAACTTATGTCTACAATAAGTACATGGATATAAACAGATACTCAAGTTGTAAAATGCATACTCAGTTATTTCTTAGTTGTTAAAGCAGCAACTTTAACTATGATTCCCAACTAGATTCCTACTGAATTGTTAGAGCACCTTCTGCGCATACTGGAATTTCACAGTGCTCTCTGGCTCTTCCCATCACAGACTACCCTTTGGAGTGCAGAAGGGAAAGGGGCATAGTGACCCCACTGGGATAGCTCCATTTGCTTTTCTGGCTTCACGGCACAACCTGTGAAAACAGCAGTAGTCCTGAGACCCTGTGTGGTGACAAGCTATGGTGGGAGTCTGTTTTTAGAGGCAGGCACATAGGAGGATCCCATCCTCTGGTTCTTTGCTGTAGTTTTCCAGATGGCATTTTGCTTCTAATCTTATTGTCTTGGATTTTAATTTAATCTACATTTGCTTAAATAAATTTCACTATTGATCCCTGTCACACAGTTTTATAAATGATGAGGAGAAGTTACATATGTTCCAGGGTGACCTTCCTTAAAACCATTGATGCAGAGGAGGTGGTAACAAAACCTGTCACCAAAGTCAGGAGCCAGCCTTCCTTCCTTCCTTCCTTCCTTCCTTCCTTCCTTCCTTCCTTCCTTCCTTCCTTCCTTCCTTCCTTCCTTCCTTCCTTCCTCCCTCCCTCCCTCCCTCCCTCCCTCCCTCCCTCCCTCCCTCCCTCCCTTCCTCCCTTCCTCCCTTCCTCCCTTTCCCTTTTTCCCTTTCCCTTTCCCTTTCCTTTCTTTCCTTTTTTTTCTTTCCTTTCTTTCTTTCTTTTTTTTTTTTTTTAAAGATTTTATTTATTTATTTGACAGAGAGAGACACAGCGAGAGAGGGAACACAAGCAGGGGGAGTGGGAGAGGGAGAAGCACGCCCCCCGCGGAGCAGGGAGCCCGATGCGGGGCTCAATCCCAGGACCCTGGGATCACGACCTGAGCTGAAGGCAGATGCTCAACCACCTGAGCCACCCAGGCGCCCCCAGGAGCATTTATTTCTAGCTGCAGCTTCTCAGTGTGCTCTCCCTTTCTATGTTCATATCATTTATTCAAAAGAGTTGTACTAAGTTATCAAGTAAGAAACGGGATTTGGGACAATAGCTGATGAAAAATCACACATCAAACTCAGTATTTCCAGTTTCTTCACTGTTCAGGAAATATAAATAAGTAGAAAATACAAAAAATAAGTTCATAGAGCACTTTTCTTGAACACGTAGGTAGCTTATTTTAAAAAAATGAATAATTTATTGGGAAGAACAGAATAATGCTCTGCTTGTGAAAAGTTTAGAGAAACATCTTATTAAAATTTTGTCAATTAAAAACAACGCTTTAGAGGTGCCAGGGTGGCTCAGTCGGTTGGGCATCTTCCTTCGGCTCCAGTCATGATCCCAGGGTTCTGGGATCGAGTCCCGCATCGGGCTCCCTGAGCCTGCTTCTTTCTCTCCCTCTGCTGCTTCCCCTGCTTGTGCTCTCTCTCTCTCTCTGTCAAATAAATAAGTGAAATCTTAAAACAAAAACAAAACAATGCTTTAAAATTTAAACATTTTCTATGGGTGCGTATAAATATAAAGAAGACCCATTGATCTTTGTTGAATTTTTTTTATAATCTCTAATAGCTTTTAGTACTATGAGTTTTTATTTCCTTCTGTGTTTTAAAAGTAAATCACATATATTACGGCCTGTGTTTTTATGTTGTAAAATCCTTTGTGTATACTACTTGGGGTAATTCAGCTTAAAATCACTGTATAATGCATAAACTGGGAAATTATTTTGTTATAGTCAGTATGCCTCTCTGTTAAAATAACTCCATGTTTCCTGACTGTGGAGTTAGACCTGGGTAGTTGGGCTAATTGCAGGGCAGGCTAACAGGGGACTGTGTCTCAGCTGTAGGACTTTCTTGTTGGACAGTGGGTTCCACACCCCTGGAGGTGCCAAGCCAGGGCTGGAACGGGCTGACCAGCAGAGATGCAGTTGATCCAAGCATTGTACAGCTGTTGACTAGCTCACCTTTAAGATGCCTTTTACTCTTGAGAGCCCTAGGGTCTATAGTCTTTCTTAGACACCGTTGGGGCCTAGCTGAGCTTATAGCAAGTTGAACGGGTATAACCCACTAAGCAGGCAAGTGTTAAGAGCTCTCACTCCTTTCCTTCTTACTTTCGGCTATTGGGAGGGCAGTATGTTCTGTTAACTGGACAACTGACCATCTGTGACCATTTTTAGCAAGAGCATCTGGCGTTAGCTGCCTGTTTAACAGAGAGTGATGTGTGCAGAGGGCAGTAGGTTAAGGGAACCCTATCTGTGTCTTGCATGGTGAATACTAGCTTTTGTACATTAAAGATGCTCTAACTAGAACTAGATTTACTAAGTGGGCTTGGAAATGAAATTTAAATGCTTCTGTTTGCTGAATCAGTGTCAATTTGAGTAGCAAACTGATGTCTCAAAATTTCATTTTCATACTAATCCCTTCTCTGATGCCCTAATACACATCCTTTTGTTACTTCTGGTAATTAAGTTTTCAACTAAAAAGTATGTTATTGGGACACATTCTCCTTGGTAACACATACAGTTCTTTGTTTCTGAAAGAAAGAAATGAATTTGTGTATTTCAATTCATTTAACAAGAATTTACAAATTATTTTTCTAAATAAGGCATTGTAGTACTAAATAAAAAGATTTAACAGATGTGACCTCTGCTCAAAACAAGAAAAACCAAAAGAGATTAACTTGATTTACTTTCCTGATTTTCTCCCAAAGTTCTGAATAACTAAATTTAATTGTAATGAAAGTTGTTTTACAACATTTTATGCTAAATCCTCAATGCTCAGTTCAAAGATGTGACTGTTTTGTTTTTTAAAGTGGCTGAAAAGATTCTTGTGTCTTTATTAGTAATATAAATATTGGTAGAGCAATGGAAGTATTTTGATGTTGCTGGTTTGTTCTAGTTTAATGATTTGTAAATACACAGTTTGCTTTTAATTAGAAATGGTTTGGGGGTTGGTGAAAAAAACATTTGGCTTGTGATTTAATGTTTATTTGATTTGTTCTAAACTGTGGTTTGAGGTTTTCTTCAAGATTTGCATCTTTGTTGTGATTATTTTCACTCAGTTGTTTTTTTTTCTCCCTTGGCACTTCTCATGTTTACCTGTTTTAAGCAGAATTTTAAAACATTTGTTAAATTTATCACACAATAAACTGAAGCAAAATTAATAGCACACTTGTGTTCTTTGATAATAGACTGATTGAAATAATTCATTCCTCTTTTTTTGTCTGTTTATTTCAGAAATTGGCTTCAAATTCTGAAGTTAGGGTTTCTAAATGCAAAGAAGACTGTTTTCATAAGCTGTCAGAAACTTCTTAATTGTTCAGTATTTATATAATAAGGGGGAAAGGGGGGGATTATTTAGATGGTGCTGTTGTTAGTTTAGCATTTGGGACACGATAATCTTTAGCTTCTATTTTGCCAAAGAATGTGTGCTATTATATTTCACAGCAAGCTTGATTAGTGAGTATGAGATTAACAACAGTTACAAAGATCCAAAATATTTAAAATCATTAGTAATGTTCCTGGATTCCTTGCACACCTTTAAAACTCACAGATCTTTTTTTGATAAATCCAAAATTGGAATTCCCAGTTACCGTGGGGGAAATAGGAGACAGAAGAAACAGTCCCTGGGTAACAAGTAATTTTAGAGTCCCTTAGCCAGCTTGTATGGAAGCATGATAAAATTAAGTCAGATTTCTGGGTGTTATCCTTTACCATAACAGAGTAGGATTTGGTTGTGTGATTATATATCTGAGGAAAGAAAATCAAGAGCTACCCCTGGTGAGTCAAACATCTATCTGGAGGGAGTTGTAATCTTTCATTTAGTCAAGACAGGACATAAAAGAGACTACTTTTATCAGAGAGGGTTCATTGTGAACCTCACTATAATAGTGATTTTGTTTTGAAGAGAACTAGAATCGCTCAGTTTACAAAATATGGAAGTCACGTTTTAAGGCAAGCCAAAGTCTTTTCAGAGACTGTGTTCCCTCATTCCTCTCGCACAAGGAAGCCTTAGATAACACTCAGAAAAATCTCTGGAAACATGCTATAGGTGAAAATTCTTGTAATCCGGCTGTTTTGCAACTTTCTCACCGCACCCCTTGAGAGAGAGTAAAAATCTACACCATATTTTATAAACAGATCTTCCTGATTGTGTATAGTCTCGAGTATATCTTAGCATACTGACTTTTAGCCTAAAAATTCATTTCAAATAATTTGGTGCCTTGCTGTCAACTACCAACTCAAATGTAATTACAGATGCCAGGATTCTTCTGTTTTCTAAAGTAACATATAATCAACAACATAGGCATGATTAA